TTAATTTATAATTTTTTTAAAAATTACAAATTTTTAGCTTATAAGTAACTTTAAATTATTTATTATATAATTAAAAACTAAAATTTACTATAACATTATATATATATATAAAATTAATTTAAAAAAAAAATTTTTAAAAATTTTTAATTTTTCATAAAAGTAAATCAGAAGGGAATTTATAGTAAATAAGCAGGCAAATTTACCTGTGAACCTCTACAATTTAAGGGATAATAGAATTGTAAAAATTATAATAAAGCCCTTGCTTTCTTATTAGATATTTTTTATTGGTAACATATAGAGCATCCAATATTAGATGTAATTAAAATGTTTCTTGTAGATCTTAATGATTATTTTATTAAAACTTACATAGTTAAATATGCATAAATATATCATCTAATAACAGTATTAATGTATTATTAAACAAACTTATATTCTTGATATGAAACATAATTATATTAAAAAATGCAATTTTTTTATTAACTTATATAAAATTGAAAATAGATAAGTAATCATTATTTAAAAGAATATATTATACAAAGAAAAGACACATATATACACTCTTCACTCTAAAATATTTGATAAAAAATATCATTATTTTTGCTAGATTATTTTTGCTAATTATTTTAATATATTAATAAAACTGCTAAAATTACAAATATAACAACTAATGGTAATAAGAAGTAAAAAAAAAAAGAAAAGAAGACATTTAAAATATAAATTTACTATTTTAAATAAAGATGTTGATATCACATATTTATCAATGAGTTATAGTACTGTTATCTTACGATACTAATAACTGAAAATTAGTATTAACGCAAGATTAACAAAGGAATTTAGCTTTTATTTAATACTTTAGAAAGAACTCTGAATGGTTTATAAATAGTTATTACTTTAAACGATAATGTATATTTAGAATAAATTTTAGGATTTTATTAAGGAATAAAGAATTCAATACAATTATATTTGTTAGCATATAATTATTATTAGTATTTATCTTGTTTACAAATTATTATCTCTTGTGATCTACTGCTATCTATTGCTATCTAATCTTGTTTTTAACCAAGTCCTAAAGCTATCCTATTTATACTAAATTTGCTAATATAAATAAATAAAATACTAATTGATTATAAATGATAAATAATTAATAATACAAAATGATTAATAATATAATGAAATTTTTCGGCAACTTCTGGGTTTTTCGCATAATCTTTATTTAGTTCATTTCTCTCATCTTTACCATCTTCATTGTCTAACGTGATGCAGTCAATATGCCTTTTTGGTCACGTGCATCACATGATCTTTTGGATTAATATCTTCCTATAACAATACTGGAGTTCCCTTTTTACCAGAACTTTGTAACGATTATTACAAAATATTGGATAATGATGATAGTAATATAATATTAATATGTGGCTATGATTATTATTAGCATTACTATGGTCAAATAGAATATAATTGTTTATACTGTAAAAAGTATTATAAAGATGAAATATATAAAAATGTTAATAAAGATTATTTTTTATTATGATTATAGCTAATGATAACATATTATAAAAATATAATATAAGATAAAATATAAATGTAAATAAAATATTACATTTATAAAAGGTATGTAGAAATGATTATTGTAATGACAACATATATATATTGAATAAATTTTATGTTTTTTGCAATTTTAGTAAAATTCAAACGTATTTCTTCTTTAATAAGTATTTTTAGTATTTATTCTATTATAATAATCAAATATTCACTAAAAAATGAAAATTATAATATTTATATAACACAAAATTAACAATCATTAATTAGAAGAATTGGTAATTTTAATTCAATTTGTAAAACTAAGTCTCTTTCGTAAATTATATTGTAAAAGCTCAAGTTTAGGTCCTAGTTAAGGTAAAATTGTATGATTATCATAAGATTTTTATTGTAACTAAATATAAGGATATATAGACTAATATATATTAATAACTGATCAATTAACCTATCAATTAATATTAATTATGTTTAAATACTAGCTTTAAAGAACAAGTAGATATAAATGAAGTTAAAGATTGATAGAAGTTAGTTTTCATTAAATAGATACTGTCTTACATTTTCAAATGGTAGAGGCTTTTATACAAGTAAAGAAATGATTAACTAGTAATTAGTAAATTTGAGTATTACCTTCAGGTGGTTATGATAATAACTGTATTGCATGTTGTAATGCCAGTCAAATCAAGCTATTATTAGGGAGTAGAGGTTGGATTCAGTTTTCAGATAAATTTAATGATATGAGTATGACAGTTACCACTTTTACAGTTCTATACAGAGATGATAACTTCTAAAGCATAAGTTTTGTAAGGTTATTTCATTATCAGACCTACCTGATAATGGATAAAGTTATAGTTTCTGATAAGATTACAGTAAAAATAGGATATAAAAAGCTTTATGGCTGAAATTATCTTCTATCTAATGATTGATGATATTTAATAAGGTCTAATAAGCCTGTTATTGCAGATATAGTTGTTTAAGATATCTAAATCTAGGTTGCAACCATATAAGGATGTGTTTCTAAATGGATTGCTAATGCACTTATAAGGATATCAGAGATCTAAAGGAGTATCTCAAGATCAGAAAAATATATCATACTAATGTGATGCTGGTGACTTTACTTCTAGTTACCACATATTAATAAAAAAAAAACATTCATTGATTAAAAATGATATTGCCTAAAAATATTAGGTTCTTCGCTATGCTTCGGTAGACAATTAAAAAAAATTCTGCACATAAATGCATAATTATTTTTATTATCATTTTTACATCTGCATTTTTTTTAATTTTTTTTTGAAATTTATATAACAATATCGGTAAATTGGATGTTATAATTTTTTTTTTTCAAAAAACTGGTGCCAATCACCACTGGTGTGGTTTACTAAAGTCATTTATTGTTTATCATGATTTATATTTTCAATTTATTTAATTTACTTGAAAAATGATCCTGTAATTTTTTAATTTATGTTATAATAAAAAATGATCTTATGCTATTTTTTGATCAGTTGACAATTGAACAACAAATTTTGTTTATAACGAAATTAGTTAGATATTATAACCATTAAATTATTTTTGCTAACAATACATTTTGGTAAATCTAACAATAATAATTAGTTTTTGAGTAAAATCTTGAAAAACGCAGTCGAAATGGTTGAATCCCGTTCTCAATTTGAACCGGTGTTTTCCAAAATAAATAAGTTAATGATTAATTTTTTTTTTTTAAATAAGAACATTATTTATTACTCTTAAGTTAAAAAAATCAAATTCTATAATGATAAAAATTCATCCTTCCGTTTATAATATTCTTTAAAACGCAAGACCGCGTATTCCATATAATCGAAATCAATATCGGATAATTGAGCTTGAACCTATTATAAAGTTTTTTTTTTTTAAATTTTGAATACTAAAACATAATAATAATAAATACAAATCAAATTTAATGTTTACCAAAGCCCAAAGTCCCCAATAAAAGTGAGAAGCTAATGCAAATTTATTGACTTCACGATATAATGTAAAAAGCTCATTATCTGTGACATCATTATCTCTCAACACTTCTCCCTTAGCTAATAATATCAACAAAAAATTAACACTTTGATATTGGAAATTTCGTAATAAAAACATGAAGTTATGCTTACCAGAATTAAATGTATTAAGGTAATGTCTTAACCATTGCAATTGAAATTTTTTATCTGGATATAAACTATAATCACACTCAAACCCGGCGAATTCACAAAAATGATTACCGATATCAAAACCTCGGTAGCTATAACATCCATATTCGTAATCAATAAACGAAACTTTTTTAGTGGTTTCATTGTAAATAATGTTGCCGTATAGGAGATCATTATGACAAAATACAACGGGTGAATTAACTTTCGTTAATTCCAGTTCCAAATTAGTTAGCTAATGAAAAAAGTTATATTCTTTATTCAAGTGACAAATTTATTAATGATAACGAATTATAAACAAATATAATACCTCTGCGTTAAGTTCTTTTATATTGAAATTTTTTTGGAACTTTTCGTTTATTTCCGGGTTGACATAAGATGTTGGCACTAAATAAATAAATAAAAAAAAAGAATAAATATATACTTATATATAAATAAACGAAAAAACGAAAGAATAAATAAAGATTACCTTCCTTAAGCCATTTTTTTAAAGTAACAAACAACTTTGGTTTTTTTTCTCCTGCAATATTCACGTTATGCCATGCGGCCAAATGTTCGGCAACCAGTGAAGACTTGCATGAATTGCTTAAATCAGGAACAGAAAATGCTGTTCCTTCTATAAAACCATATACTAGCCCGTTACTAAAACGCCCGTAAAAAGGTGGTGACATTCCTAGACTCGACAAAGTCACAAGGTTCTTTTTTTTTTTTTTATAAAAAAATATGATTATAATTATTAAATTCTGAAAAAAACCCTTTAGAAAAAGTTATTTATTGCATCTTACATAAATTTCTTGTTTCCTATCAATTAAAACTTCCGATTTATTACCATAAGCTCGAATTAAGACAGAAAAATTAAGAGCTTTATTGGTACATTTGACAACTAGGAATAATATATTGATACACTTTAATAAAGGAAAATAGCAAAAAAAAAAAGAAAAAGAAAAAAAGGAAGTTATTTACGTTTGTTTGTAATTCCGTCTTTAAATTGCACTAGTTCCAGGTCCTCTTTTTTCCAGTCAGTAAAGATTTTCAAAACAACATGCGAAGAACATTCAAAAAGGTTAGATGTTTCTACGAAATAATTGATATTTTTAACTTCATTTTGTATATGTTCCTCGAGTTGTACTAAAGAACTAACTTCGAACGTGTGATTAAAGCCGTTACTAGACATGCGAAGCTGAGGAAGGAACTCGAAAATATTTTAGGGTTCTCGGAAAAAAAAATTTTTTTTCTGGCTGGATTCATATTTGCGGCAACTACCAATTATTGTAACTAGCAAACGGTTTTAAATCAAAACATTGATGCACGCGTGTCATCGTGTGTAGGGATGGGCGTTAACTGTTAATTTAACCAAATCGTTAATTTCCCGTGTTTGAGTACTAATTTGTCCCACGTGATATTAAAACGTGATATATTATTATCAAATCATATTTATTTATATTGTACGAATTTCGATATAGTAATTGGTTATTATTTATACATATTTTTAAACGTCAATTAAAATTTTCACATCTCTCTAATACTACGTATAATAGCTTTCAAAACTCTAGTCTGTCTCGCCTCTTTTTCATGTTCAGTCTGATTATCCAATGCCCTATCACCAACATCATCTTCAGATGAACCTATTTTCTTAAACGCAGATTTCAATAAATATGCGAAATCGCATTGCGCCGTGATCGCAATATTAGAGCCGTTTGCAGTCAAAGTATCATACAAGTGAGAAGTTTGTTCAAATTTGGCAGCAACAACTTCTGCACGATCTACAATTCCTCGTGGAACTCCCGCCATACTAGCCACGTTCATTCCATATGATTTAGGACACACACCAGCTACTAATTTATAAAGAAACGTAACCTCCTTTTTATGTTGGTCCACTTGACAGCTCATGTGTTTGAGAGCGATATTGGGATTCTTGGCAAACTCTTGCGTTAACATGCCGTAATGAGTAGAAAATAATCCCAAACAACCAATGTACGTCGCCAAATAATGTAAAACAGAATAGGCAATTGCATACCCATCAAAAGTTGATGTACCCCGACCTAATTCATCAAGAATGACCATAGATCTTGGAGTAGCTTCATGTAGAATCTTTGAAGTTTCGCTTAATTCTACCATGAAAGTACTTTGTCCTGCCAGAATGTTATCATTTGCACCAATGCGTGTATAAATTCTATCAAAGGGTGTCATTCGACACCTTTTCGCTGGCACATAGCACCCCAATTGTGCCATAATTATTGCTACGCAATTCTGTTATAAATGATACATCATTGTAGTTATCCAATGTATAGATATATGAAACCCGACTTAAATAAATCATAAACCTAACCTGACGCAAGAGGGTAGACTTTCCACCCATATTAGGACCGGTCAATAATATTATATTTGGCTCATTTCCTCCTAAGGAGGTATCATTAGGTATGAAATCTGTTGCGACACTAAACAAAATCGAATAAATATCTGTTAGCGACAACTTTGAGACAAAATGCACTCGTAGTCTCATAACATACCCAGCTGTAACACAAGGGTGTCTAAGTTCCTCGAATTCCAAGACGTTCGGCCCGTCTTGCACAAATTGAGGACGACATGATGGTTCTATGGAGTAATAATTAACATTTAACTTATTCTTCGTATAATTGTTATCATTAGATCATAATAATGACTAACCGCCCAATGCCTTTGAACTCGTAGACAAGCTAAGCAAGCAGTCGATCTCGGCAATGATTCTAATAGCAGATAACCACTCCTGGTAGTGAACATCAAACTTTTCATAAAATTTTCCTTGCAAAGCTTTCAATGTGTTAGATTTAGTTTCAAGTGCCTCCTGAAGGTCTCTTACGAGTTTTTGAAGAGTTGAATTCCAATAACGATTAACTTTCTGTGTACGAGATAACTTTTTCCAATCATGTGGGACTTTTATGTTATTTGGAACTTCTAGCTGATAGATTTCCTTTCCAATATCCTTATATATAATCTTATCGGACCTAAAAAAAAAAAAAAAAAAAATAAGCAAAGATTTCATACATCAACTGTATTTGGTATAAAAGCTTTCTCATACTTCAATAATTTTCTTGTCTCTTTTAAGTGATCGTCTAATAACTTCTCAACCGCGCTAAGTTTTTGTTGAATTGTATCATAATCCTGTTCAATACCATGATAAGGTATTAATTTCCCTATATCCATAACGTGCAATAAATCTTAATATTAACTTAATCTTTGCTTTTTATATAGATATGGTATGAAAATCGTTACCCTCTTTTTCGGCTTGATCATGATCGAAAGCTTCCTTAAAGTATAACAATATGGAGGATAAGTCGGGTACGTTTCTAAATAATCCAAGCAATTTGTCCGAATAAAATTTTTTTGCATAGACTCCAAGCTTTGTTACCACTGCCTATTATTATATTAAATAATTTTTATAAAAAAAACAATTAATCTGGTTATTAAAAGTGAATAATATTGAATATTAAACGTTAACGTACCATTAATTTTTCGAAAGCGGATAATACGAGCAAGAAGTCTTTTACTCTGCATGTTCCTGCATGAATCCGACTGATTAATCTTTCCAGGTCTGGAAAATGCATAAATGTTTCGTCAAATAATTCACGAAAATCCGAATGTTTATTTAATTCTTCAATTGCATTCAATCGTTCGTTGATATCTTCTACATTTCGAAGCGGATGACATAACCATTGTTTAAAGGTTCTTTTACCTATTTTGATTTTAATTTTATTACCAAAAAGAAAAATATGTAAAAGCCCAAAAATATTAACACATCGTCCATATCAATCTCACCAAAAGGCGTGACGCAATGATTCAGCAATTTGAACACAGTTCCTTGATCGCTTCCATCCAAATTATTTTCGAAAATTTCGAGATTTGCCAAGGTCTGACCGTCGAGGATAAGCGAAGCACTATGACGAATTGGGTCATATAATTTGAAATTTCGTAATGATACTAATTCTTCATCAAGCTTCAACTTTTTTACACAAAAAATGAAATATCACAAGTAAATAAAAAAAAAAAAATAAATAATCGTAATTTTCTCATAATATCTTGATTAATAAACTTACCGAACGTAAATACCAAATGAGTCCTATTTAATTGGAAATTCACTTATGATTTAAGAACAAATAACAATAAGGAAAAAGCGTCTTTGATATTAAAATTATACTTACCACCTAATGCGGACATCATCAAAGGCTTGTTCCGAGCTGCTTTAATGGCTTCAGGCCAAATTTCTAATTTCATAGACAGCAAATGGGTTAATTACATAATATTGTCATGAATTTGTTTAGTAATAAAACAAAGGATACCTGGGTCATATCCATTATCACCATCTTCCATCGTCTCATCGTCGTCGTCATCTTTCTCAGTTAAATTTTGTTTATTGGAAAAATATCGAGAAAATCTTATTTCATCCCAAGTAGCATTTGCATCCCAAAATTCTCTTTCAGGTATGAGCCCGGTCCATATGGGACAATTAATACAGGTTTTTAAAATACGTTGCGAACGTTTATTAAGCATTCCCTATTAAAGAGATTTTAAATACATAAATAATAATCCTACCAATTGTAAAAAATTAAGTTCACGTTCACATATACTAACTTTTTCATACACTATTTCTTTTGGTTTCACTTGCATGATCAAAGTTTCGAATTGAGTTCGATCAATGTCATCAACAAATGACACGAGATTAAATTCGCCAGTCGCAGTATCAACAAAACATATACCGTAAGCAGGTGGATCGTTTTCGGTTGGACAAGACTCCTGTATATATAATTTTGTAATTGATTTGATAGACGAACGACGTGTATAATATATATTTGAATACAATATTAACTTTAATTGACATGCAATAAGTTGACATTTCATTAGTCAACAATCCACCATCTACAAGAGTTCCGGCGGTAAGGATAGAAGTTAACTGACGTCGTATAACTTTTTCCTCCTGTAAATGATCAAGATTATTAATCCTTAAATTTAAATCAAACAGGAATAGAAAAACGAGTATAAGTAAAAAAATAATAATAACAACCTTTTTCTTGGTCGCTTTTTCGCGCATCTCTTTGCTTAGCGCTGTTTCCATTTGGTCAACCCTCGCAACTTTATGACTTTCGATGTTTAATAGATCAAGGAAAGTGATGTAAGTATATGATTTATTTCCATTTATAGAAAATAATCAGTAAAAAATTTATTTACCCTTTTGCAATAAACTGAGCTGCCCAATGTTCAAAAGAAAATTCGGGCACACCAACCATTCGCATATTAACACGGTCTGTGAGTTTAAGATCGAATTCCGTGTGACCTATATCTGCATCACGCTCATATAATTCTATAAAGATGGAACCAATTAAAATTTTAATAAGGGAAATGTTATTTAAACGCGTGATAACAAACAAATAAGGGGATATTCTAAAATTTTATACCGTAAAATTTTCCTTTCTTGAAGAATACGACCTAATGTTAGAAGAACGATGTTAATTAACACCAACGTAATTTGAATCAATACATTCATTTAAATTCATATCATACGGTATCCCAATGATTAGATTTTATTTCCCAGAATTGTTTTTCAAATGGAGTGAACTTGTCCCAAGAAGATTTAGGAATATACAAAGTACGTGGGTCGTAATTAGGTGATCCTTTTAATATTGTCCCAAATAAAGTTTAGCTTCAGAAAACAAAACACCGGTGATTAGAACAGTAAGGAAATAGTACCTTCGGGATTTCCATCTATATCGCGAACATCTTGCAACCAACTGTATCGTTCATCATTCTTTACTTTAAAATCTGCAGCACGTTGCTTTCATAATAAATAAACTCTTAGATAAACTTATTATAATTTGCATAAAATCTCAAATGAATTGTACCTTCTTTTTCTCGGTGTTGGTCATATGTGTTGAAGATGAGAAGCTTGGGCCACGACGAATAGATGAATTCGAGGCAAATGCCTAATTATAATAAAGTTAAACATATAATTTTATCGATGTAAAAGGTAAAGATTCAGACCGAACCTTTAGTTTAGAGGCAGATTTTCCATTTTGATCTCTTTGAGAGAACTTATTAATCACGCGCGTTGAATTATCTTCGTCATCGCTAGCAACTAGAGCTACATCGTTCGTATCGTTCATGACTAGACAAATGAAAGGAAATAGTAAATTTTTGGACTGC